CACCCTGTATTATTGACAAATGTAAAATAATAACATAAAACTCAAGCTCCCTATTGCAATATGTATATGTACAAGCAAAATAAAGCAAATTGTTGTATGTTAGTCGTTAGAACAACAAAAAAAGCTACCTGCTTAAGTAGTTGGAAAAAGTATTAACTAACCCAAACTAGCCCAAACGATTATACTCTTTCATTTGCTTTCAGGCTACACACGGTCTGGCAGGCCTGTCAGTTCGAACTGAACAGTCCGACTGAAGGCCGGTCGCCTGAGCGTGTATATATTCCAGACGATCTGTCAGTTAAGACTGTTCAGGTGGCCGGAGAAAAATCAAAAGTATGTTCGTTCATCCGGCCGGCCTCACGTATCCAAAGGCAAGTCTGAACGTGTGTATGGCACTGTCCGCCTGTCGGGCCGTTGGGCTATCATTTCAAATAGTTTCAGTAGTGAGTAGTGAGCTTACGCCATGTCACGCGAAATAGAAAACAGGTGTTTGACGGCATAGGCGCCGGAACCATGGGGGCAATGGGGGCAATGGGGGCAATGGGGGCAATGGGGGCAATGGGGGCAATGGGGGCAATGGGGGCAATGGGGGCAATGGGGGCAATGGGGGCAATGGGGGCAATGGGGGCAATGGGGGCAATGGGGGCAATGGGGGCAATGGGGGCAATGGGGGCAATGGGGGCAATGGGGGCAATGGGGGCAACGGGGACAATGGGGGCAATGGAGGCTTGAGCCCCCATAGCGAATTTGCTATGGGGGCGGAGCCCCCATAGTGATTTTGGTGGTGGGTGTAGTAGTGTATTGGGTAGGTTCAAAAATATTGAGTTCCTAACTATTTATTTTTATATCAAACTTGTGTTTTATATTTTTGTTATACCTACTTCAACAAACAGTTAGAATATTTTGTTGTGTAGTATTTAAACCTGTATCTTCAATAAGTCGTTGGATTATTATTTCCTTTCCGATTTTTTTTTTTTTTTTCATGATAGGTATATTTACATCACATCATTGGCTTTTTTACCTAGTTTATCATGGAAAATTTATATAATGATCGGACCAACCTACTATACATATAGGGAGTAATAAGACGAATTAGCCTGTACCCGGTTAAGGCGAATCGACTGGGTGTTGCCCACTGGCGTTGACAAGGAGGGGGACAAAAAGGCATTTTCCCACCTTCCCCCAAAGGCCTTTAAATATTAGTAATTCAAAATTAAAATAAACAAAAAAAATCAATTCAAGTCCTAGGTGAATAATCAAATACATACATATATTATAATATAGGTAAAGTCTGTTTTTTTTTTAAAGATAATTCCCCAAGTCAAAAATTTAGTAACTATATTGGTAACACAAACCTTTTCTACGTAAAAAATTTGAAAGCATTGACAATGTTACATTGTATTGCCAACATAATGTCATTTTGACTTTTATCTTTAAAAAAAACACACACTTTAGGTACGTAAGTAACATTCCACTATAAAATTTTATCAAAATTTATGTTCGAATGGCCGCATCTCCGCATGCTCCTACCATTAGAAGTTACAAAAATACCGTAAAAGACCCAACAATTTCGCGCCTGCGGCGGAGCTGCAAGGATCACTTCCTGCAAATTTGATCCCTCACCTGAATACAAAATTCTGGCTATGCCAATGGTGCTGGTCCCATTTAAGTAATTTTTGGAGCCTGAGCCCCCATACCTACCTATTGAATTAACTATTATCTCGATGTTTACTCTGTTACATGCGCTCCTTTGTAGAGATTTCTATTTACTTTGCAATCGCATCTTTTCCAATGTATTCTCATGTATTCTTGTGTATTCCTTTGTATTGTTTGTATTCTTATATAAGTATTCCTTTGTAAATACTGCATCTATTCAGTGTACAAATTTGGCTGGCGGTTTACCCCTCGACAAAAATTATCAGGAAAACTCCAAATATTTGAGCTAATAAAATTGTATTGTGATATTTGATGCAAAGTTGCTCTGTATATTGTATATTTTCAACATTTGAAAGCAATCCGCCTTTTCGAGGTGGAGATTTTCGAAAGTAAATACGATTTTAATTTAAATATTATTCATTCATATTCATATTCATAATCATAAACATATTTTGGGCACGTTTAGAACCTGTCATTCATGCACTTACTAGTGGTAAAATGTATGTTGCAGATCCAATAAGTTAATTAAGATTATTGAAATGACAAAAAGTTATTGTCAATTTTTTTCTATTTAGGTACATAATAGGATTTGTCCTTAAGTTACTGATTCCAACAGGATGTCACATAGCATGCATAATCTTTTTTAATATTTAGCCATAATGAGGCGTTGTGACTTGAAAATGTTCCAGGAAGAAGTCAACGTAGCGGTAATTTTTGAGAGATCTGCAGATATTAAATTGAAGTATGTACTTACATCGCATATTAAATTAAGTGAAGAAATCTCTGATCAGTCTCATCTTAAGAATTATAAATAGAAACAATTTTTTTAAACGATTACCTACCTATATCAATATATATATAATCCTCGGTTTATAACGTTCTACTTCTTCCGATTCCCGATCTCCAACCAACTCTATCAATCCAGGCATCCTCCTCTAAGCCTCTATCTCTCATTTCTTCGTACACTCCACTTCTCCAGCTTCTTCTTGGTCTGCCGCGTCTTCTTCCCCCTGGCTTTCACTCAATAATTTACTTGGGTGTCCTTGTATCTGCCATTCTTTGTACATGTCCGAACCAAATCAGCTGTTTGTCCTTTATATCATCTACTATTGTGTGTTTTACGTCCATAATCTTCCTTATTCTCAGATTTGTTATCCTTTCCATTTTTGACCTGCCTGCCGATCTCCTCCAAAAGTCAATTTCAGTTGCTTCCAGCATTTTTGCAGTTTTGTTCTTTAGTGGCCAGACTTCTGAGCTGTGACTATGCTTTTGACTATTGTGTTGTATATTCTAATTTTGTTGATATTTTGGTCCCACAGTACACCATTTAGTAGGGATATTGCCTTGCGTCCTTGTATATTCCAATCTTTAATTGCTTCGTCTAGGGCTCCCTCATGTGAGATTTTCATGCCCAAATATTTGTATTCAGTACATTGTTTTATTTCTTGTCCGTTATTCAATTTGAGAGATTGCTGTTCGCCTCATAGTCATATATTCTGTTTTAGTTAGATTTACTTCCAAACCCCATTTCTCGTATTCCTCTATCAGTTTCGTGTCATGTACTCTAGGTCATTATAGTCCTGTGCAATTACTACTTGATCATCTGCAAAGCTTAAAGTATATAGATTATTGAGCGGTATTCCCATGTGTCTGCATTTTATTTTCTACCCCTTAAGCGCTTGTTCTAAGTATATTTTGAAAAGTGTTGGTGATATGCAGCATCCCTGTTTAAGGCCTTTAGTTGCTATAAAGCCTTTACTGATCATGTGTTCCTGTTTAATCTTGGTCTTTGAATCACTATAGAGCATTTTTACTGCCTTTATTAGTTCTACTATACTACCTATATCAAAACAGTTATAAAAATTAGTGGATACTTGAATCGAGATTAAGAGATATTTATAACATTAGAATAATAGTTTGTGAGTACTGCTTCATAATCTGAAAAACCTGAACAAAAGACAGTAGTACAGTCAATGAAATTTGGATCAAAAGATGACAGGACTAAGAACTGGTACTCATTTATCTATCAAGTCTAGATTTGAAATAAGTATTTTACTATTTACTCAATAAACCTATGTATATGATGATCTTAGCTAAATAATATACACCTATCACAAGTATTTATTATTATTCGATGAATACTGGGAAATATCCATGCGGACATACAAGTTAATAATAAACTTCAATAAAAATTTGTAATCTTTAGGAAAACCCTTTTTTGGAAACGATGAAACATAAAACATGATTAAAAAACAACTATAGAACTCGATACAACCATTCAAAAATTTACCAAAATGTTACAAAATTGGCAAGATTTTGAAAGACTAATATGGACACGAAGCTCATAGATTACCTTCTTACCATTATCAATATAATCCGATTAAAATAACTTGGGGGTTTTATAAAAACTTTTAAAACGAAACTATCGAAGCATAGGGTTGAGAGAGTATATAGCGTGAGTCTCCTTCAAATTGAACCTTATCAGACATGTGGAAAAGCTTTTGTAGACATTGGGAAACCTTTATGTCGGAAAACTGGACAACACATATGGGAGACTTTGCTTTTGACAATCTATCATCATTTTGCTTGGGGAATCGGATTCAAAAATGAAAAATGCTTTCTGAATCTCCAGGAAAAATTATGGAAGTTGAATTATACTACGAATTTACTGGGTCAAAACATTACATTTTACATCACAGAGACCTGAGACTCGGAGGGGAGGCTAAGCAAATCTTCATTTCAATTCTTACATGAAAGGAAAATGAATTAAATTCAATACAATGGAGATTTTTTTTAAATACGAAGAAGAAGAATTTGAGCTTCCAGATTATTTATTCTATAAAGGTACCTAAGTTAGCTGATTGCGGAAACAAATTAAATTGTTTAGTTGATTACAAAATTATATGAATTTTTCAGAACTGTTTCCAATTAGTTATCTATCTAAAAAATGAACGTGAGGCGAACCCTATCTGCTTAGGAAAATTACTTTTCGGGAAAATACTGGTTCGAGCAATATTGACTTGGTTACGTTGTGGTCGGGACAAATAATGTAAAGACAATTAAAGTCGAACTGATGATATTTACAGTATATGTGACTGCCTAAATAAATACGTACAAATCAACCCAATAAATTCATTATTTTCAAAGTCGACTTATAAAAAAATTAAAATTCACTAAACCATCGCAGTTTCTGAGAAATCCTCTGCATCTTTCACGAATAACTCAAATGAAGACTACCTGAAATTCAAAAATATAAGGTTTCTGTCTATAATTAATTAAATGAATTCATTATATTGGCTAAAACCTGAGCTCTTGGAAGCTTACCTCGACGCTATGAGAAAAAGTAAACGCGCCGGCAAAACAGTAGTAAACAGTACGCGGTACGATGGTGACATGAACGTATGGTACTGATGGTACTATTATTCTTTTGGTGCGATCCTTCGCTACGCGTATATAGGGGCAGTGACATCGCTAGTTAAATGCCTCTAGTAGTACTTCGCTTCGGAGTGTAAACTGGATTTTAAATTGTTATTATTTTTATGCCCGGCATTTGAAAAATAATTGATAGGAATTATTTTCGCTACATGGGTACGGAGAAGATATACTTTGGCTTGGGAAATATAATGTGCAATTTATAAGTGCAAGTAAGTTGCTTATATATTTTTTTTCTTATAAATGTCTTTCTATTTTGTGAAAATTGATTTAAATTCTCCAAATTTTATTTATGTTTGAAATGAAATGCCACCCCCACATATAAAGTTTCTGTTTAAATCTATTCATCCTTTGTGATATACATAGGTAACAATTTTTAACTACTCAGTCAAAGATTGAAATTGGTAGGTACCTAATCATGTGAGAGTTCAAAAGAAATTTTTGTTAATTTTTTCTCATGGCCCATCAGCTATGCTAATTTGTATGTACATTAATTATATTCGGCCTTTATCCAGTGCCATGTAAATTATGTACAACTATTAAAATTTCCTTCAATGAATTATTGCTAAATTTGCCATTGAACAATTAATTTCAACCAGAAGTGTTTTAGTACTTGTCTTGTGCAAATAATTTTGGATTATTTTCAGAAATGACCTTAAAACCGACTTAGTACAATCTAATTTTAACAACAATACAGAAAAATATATGTGCGCTCTTTTAGTTCTTGGGTACATTGTTATAACTTCAAGTGAACCAACTGTAAATTATTGTTATCCTCACCGTGGCAAAATGTTTCCTATGTTTTAATTGCTCTATACCTATTTAGTGCTTTAAAACCTAATTGGCAAAGATGCAAATGGAGCTAAAAATACTTACTGTAAAAAGTTGCACTTGAAAACTAAACGAACCTGTTTAATATGTGAACATTGGTTTACGAAGACAAAAAAGTAAGTACCTAGTTTACACCTATTTAGTGGTTCTCACGAGAAGTTTTCTCTATATTGAGTCATTATGTTACAAAGCCAAAATCTACGACCTTCCAATAAATGCAATAAGAAATACCCATATAATTAATTAATCATTTCTGTATCGATTAAGTTTTATTCAATTTTTATTATTTAAAATCGCTAAGATTGTCACGCTAGAACTCTGCATCTCTCAAGATAGGAGGGAATGTTGAAAAGGAAACTTTTCTGATGATAAGTTAAGCAAATTCAATAAGAATCAAGATATGATAAGAAAACCTCAAGAATCAAAAGAACTTCTTGAAAACTCAAAGAAAGTAAGCAAAAATGAATAAAATCATAGATGAAGATGATGAAAGAAAAGAAGAAAACTTCCAAATACCACAATAAAACGATAGTCACTTTAAATTATCGACCAGGTTTTGAAATTACTTGGTTTATTCAGAGCAGTTATTAAATTTCCTTATATTGCATTAATATCGACTCGATTAAATTCTTGTTCAGTTAATAAAAGCTATTTCCACTAACTAACTAACTAAACAGGCGGGTCACCAAACCCATCAAAGATTGCAGCCATTCTTAATTGAAGCACCTAACGATATAACGTGAAACTGACAAAAAAAAAATTGTACCAGACAACGGGACATTATTAATATGGTGATTATAGTGTACTGTGAAAAACGTCAGGAACCGTTTTACTTTGTTTTCATTCATTCATTCATTTATCTATCATTGATAATAATGAATTGATTAGGAAAACAATGCCTCATAGTCACGAAGATTGATAGAAAATAGAACAATTCTTATGTAAAAGTTACAGTTAAAATTAAAATGCTTCCGTCACTACTTAGACATTTTATCGGCGTTTTCTCCTTCTAATCATAATAATGCAACCATTGATTTTTTTTTAAAACTTATATACTTAGGTAATAATATCTAATACCAACACAGGAGGATAGTCTCCGAAGGCAACATTTACAAGTAAAAAGCATTAGGAGTTATCTTAAACTTGCTAAATGACTGAGTAAATACTTTGACATTTCGCTTGCCGATTCACTAATTATTTATCCGTTAATGCCCCGGACCATAATGGAATCGGCTTTACGAAGTGTGAGTGACTGTGGTATTTAGACAGGAAAGTTTTGCAAACTTAAAAATTCCTTTTTCTGAGTCACACTTTGAGCATTCATCATCTTTAGAAATCTGCTTTTCTAGTCCAATAATAATATGAGTAAAAGAAGAAATGATAATCTCAGCACCGTCAACTATAGAATCTGAAAAATTGGGGAGTTTTTCAGGGGTTTCGTTTATTCAAAGCAACCGTTCTAGAACTTTTAACTTTATTCGATAGGCCTTTGTAGTATTGTGAAGAGAAATCTACCAGACAAAAACGAACTAGTGAAAAAACTGAAGAAGATATTAAAAATAAATCCAAGATAAGTGACAATATCTATTATAGACATAAAGGAGATTTGTGATGGAAGAATGATAATAAAATCAAAATCAACAGAAGAAACACAAAAATAACAGAAGTTAAACAGAGATAAATTAAAAGCAGATTACAATATAAATATATAAACATTTAAACAACCACAGCTAGCAATAATATAGGATGTGAACAAGAATATAGTGATGAAGAACCTATAAAGGAACTAATAAATTACAATTACATTGATAAAGAAGACAAATTACAATATGTGACCGAATATTTGAAAAAATATATTTTAAAATATGTTCAAACCAATGGAATAACCCTTATTGTTTTTAGGAACAGGTACCAATAATTACAAAATCAGTATTTACAACAAAGACATCATCGTAATACGAATGTAATGAGATAATTACTCGTTATTTAAGTGCCGCTTAGTAAACAAAGCAGGTGATTATTTACCTCTTACCAATACAGAAATGTTAACAATCAAAGAAAGCGTAATTAAGTGAAAATATCAATATTGTCATCGTACAATAATGTCCATTTAAAATTCGTTAAACGAAACTTTCACAAAAGACTATGAAATTTGCTTTTACAGATATTTATTATTCGCGACACAAATTGAAAAGTTAACCTTTACATTTTTTAGCATGTGAAGGACGCATTTAATATGCCAGTTCACTGGCCACGAGTATGTTTATTTGTTTACTGTTAATTTGAAACCGGACAGTGTGTATTTTAAATAATTAATTGAGTTGCATCTGTGTTTTGACAAATTTAATGATTCTGTTTTGACCAACGTCGAACAAGACACTTATAAAATCGTATATAGATGTATTGCAATTATTATAGTATATATTGGTACTGCCTATAACTTCCATTAGGTACCATTTGTACCCGAGTACAAGAACCCTTTTGCTCAAAATTGCTTAACACGATTTTATTTCTGGAACTGTAAGTCCAAATGAGCTGAAATTTTCAGGGATTATAGTCCTCTACTGGAATAAGATTCACTGAAAATTTCAGCTTTCTATTTATAATAGAAAAAAAGTTATGACCTTTCAAAGTTTTCCAAAATCTAAATCATAAGGTAGGTACCTTCTTACTAAAACGATGAAATTTCAAATTTTTTTTTGTCGGGATTTTGTATCCTAATGGTCAATCAACATACCCCAAATTCCATACACTTAATTATTCTCAGATTTGAAGCCGAAATCTATGAAAAAAGGCACTCAGAAAAATTGAAACATTGATAAATCACCCCAAATTGCTTAACACGATTTTATCTCAGGAACTATAAGTGCAAATGAGCTGAAGTTTTCAGGGATTGTAGTCCCTTGATTGGGATAAATTTCAGTGAAAGTTTCAGCTTTCTATCTATAATAGAAAAAAAGTTATGACCTTTCAAAGTTTTCCAAAATCTAAATCATAAGGTAGGTAGGTACCTTCTTACTAAAACGATGAAATTTCAAATTTTTTTTTGTCGGGATTTTGTATCCTAATGATCAATCAACATACCTCAAACTCCATACACTAAATTATTCTCAGATTTGAAGCCGAAATCTATGAAAAAAGGCGCTCAGAAAAATTGAAAAATTGATAAATCACCCCAAATTGCTTAACACGATTTTATCTCAGGAACTATAAGTGTAAATGAGCTGAAATTTTCAGGGATTATAGTCTCTTGATTGGGATAAAATTCAGTGAAAGTTTCTACTTTCTATCTATAATAGAAAAAAAGTTATGACCTTTCAAAGTTTTCCAAAATCTAAATCATAAGGTAGGTAGGTACCTTCTTACTAAAACGATGAAATTTCAAATTTTTTTTTGTCGGGATTTTGTATCCTAATGATCAATCAACATACCTCAAACTCCATACACTAAATTATTCTCAGATTTGAAACCGAAATCTATGAAAAAAGGCACTCAGAAAAATTGAAAAATTGATAAATCACCCCAAATTGCTTAACACGATTTTATCTCAGGAAATATAAGTGCAAATGAGCTGAAATGGTCAATCAACATACCTCAAACTCCATACACTAAATTATTATCAGATTTGAAACCGAAATCTATGAAAAAAGGCACTCAGAAAAATTGAAAAATTGATAAATCACCCCAAATTGCTTAACACGATTTTATCTCAGGAACTATAAGTGCAAATGAGCTGAAATTTTCAGGGATTGTAGTCCCTTGATTGGGATAAAATTCAGTGAAAGTTTCAACTTCAAATTTATTCATATTTTCAACTATCAATAAGGGCCATAAGTACCCTAAAACCATACCTACCTAATTTTCCTTTTCTTCAAATTTCAGATTCATGTCCCTGATACAATAATTGGAGATATGGTTTTTCAAATTTTTTATAAATTCATCTTCAATTTTTGGAACTGCCCAAACTTTATACAGTGAAACATTGTGATTTGAAGCCGAAATGTTTGTCATAAAATATCCTCCTCTCCTCGTTACTTAGCAGAATTGTATTTCTATAACTATAACAACTTCAAATGTGCTGAATTTATAAAGAGAAGAAGAGTTGAGGCTATGTTGATCAGATATAAAATAAGATCTAAATAAGAGCCTAAATATCTAGTTTAGTCATTTCCAGTCATTCCTTTCCTATATGTCGCGTTGGGCAAATTTGTAAATATCCTATACCATCGAATACAATAATTTAGTCATCAGGCAAAACCCAAACTTATGAAACATGCTGATGACTCATAATTGTTTGTCTCAAAAATTTGCCATCTTATTAAGTATCAAACTCATATATCTCATCCTCGAATTATCATTGCTACCACATTTATTACATAAC